CTCTTTTTAATTTACATACACTGCACGTAATCTGATGTTCAATGCAGTCTGTCATAAGTCTTTTTCTGGTGTTTGAGTGTTGATCTAGACCAGGTTATGCTGAGTACACCAACTGACCAAGCATAGGCATACTAAAAAGTGTAAAAAACCCCTCTTGCTCTTGATAATTTAGCTGCATAATTCAAATTCTTCATTCCTGAATACCGCAATTTAGTTCCAAAAAAGGCAGATAGCCAAGGAAAAGCTAGGGAATTTGTATATTAAGGCTAACATACATACCTAAGAACTGTATACAAGTGAGCAAGCAAACAGAATGGGGTGGTAAATATTACTAAATTTAACAAAATGAAGTAGAAGTAATGTCCGCATATAGTTTGAAAGAGCTCCGTGGGACTGCTTACAGAACTGCTCATCTTGAGTTCAACTGGAATGAAAGAATATGGTGTTTAGCTTTTTATGATACATTAAGGTACAGTAGGTGTTATGATCTCAAGCTGGAGATGCCATAATAGAATTGATAGAATTGATACCTCTCAAGCTGGAGATGCCATAATAGAATTGATACCTTTTTTTTTCCTCAAGTGTGGACATGTTTTCAGATGAAAATCCCATATGGTTTTCAATCATGGAATTGTTTTTCATAATCCTTGTATTAGGCTTACATTTATTTTTATTATGTTAAAAGCTTTGGTTTTGTTCATACAAAATCTGGAAGTAGAATGTCTAGACTCTGAATTATATTAAATCCACTGCACTTTATCCAAGGATTATTTATTTGGGGTTATTTGTACAGAAGTGCTGTTAATACATTGAGCAGTTTCTTCTTGGACAGCAGGAACACGGCTGTCAGCTGTAACTTGAGGGTAAACATAGCCTTTATTAGGTCTGTCTGTCTTGAATGTTTTGCTCTTTGATGATAGCAATTGTTCTTAGTTATTGTTGCACTCACAACATCACTTCTGGGCATGTTGACTGGACAAGCTGTCAAATTCAGAGGCATTTAATATGCCTACTGGATTTTTATACCATACTAAAGTAAAAAGACTAGTGAAATGTTTTAGTGAAAAGTGCAGATTATAGTCTCAGTTGTGGTTTGATGGCAGAACTGCAAACAGGAACATAGAAGGCCAGATCTTTTTTCAGATATTTTCCAAATGTGAAGTGTTAGGATTAAGGCTTGATAGCGTATCTAGAAGTTAAAAGTTTACCCCCACTTTATCTGTGTTGTTTTTTTTATAAATCAGATTGAAAAAAACCAGTCAACCACTCTCGCCTTGTTAAATAATACGTTTTAAAATTTATCCTACTATTGGCTGCAATGAAAAAGCATTATAGTATAAAACCAATGCTCTGATTTACTTCAGTATGGTACCTCTGATAAGGATCTATCCCTGACTCCAAACAAAAAGGTATTTCTAGGTTTTATATATATTTATATGTAAAATTACATGTATATAAAAATGCAGTGTGCAAATTGTATAATTGTTAGTTGGCATCATCTGCTTTACTTGGAGTGCACCCTCTCTCAGACGTCATATCACATAAGCATGCTTCTAAATCCAAGAAGAAGCTGTAGTTTGTGATAGGAGAAAAAGCTTTCTTTCTTTTTGGTGTTTAGTAACTCCTTTTTGTGAGTGCGAGAGAAATAGATAGAGGTACACGACTTGCAGCGCCATTCCATTTACTCAGTTTAGCCTTTCTGACTTTTAATCTCCTCATAACAGATCCATTCCTTTTCTGATCAGATAACCTCTTTTTCAGAAAAAAAAATATGAGAAGCTTCTTAATTGAAGCTCAAAATTCTCTCTTTTGTGCACACTTGAAATAGTTCTTGTGGACACTTGAAATTGATAGAGATGTTACTAAGTAGGATTGTAATAATCTTGCCAAAATCTGCTGTCCAAATTCAGACATCTAATCTGAGCTAGTTGCCTAGACTCCTCAAACAGAAAACAGAGAAAGATGCATTGACCAGGGGCAGTATTTTAGTTCTCCGGCAACAAACTTGGGCCCTTTCCAGAGAGCAATCAATTACACCTTTCTATTATCCTTAATTTCACTGGGGTTCAGAACAATTTGACATATTTTACATGGCTGATATAAAATGAGAGAACAGGCTCCCCAGAGAGGTTGTGGAGTCTCCTTTTCTGGAGACTTTCAAGACCTGTCTGGTTGCCTGTTTGAGTGATCTGCCCTAGTTTTGGTCCTGCTCTGACAGGGAGGTTGGACTTGATGATCTTCAGAGGTCCCTTCCAACCCCTACCATTCTGTGAGAGGAATCTTACTCTTGTTCACAGATCAAATATACAAATAATTTTAAATTAAAAACTACTATAAATATCCAGACTCATATTTGGATTGGTTACAGAGAGACTAAGAAATTTATTCTGAGAAACCTGTCTGTTGCAAGTACAGATGTGTTTTGAGCGGCCCACGGTTAATTTTGTGAAATTCTGGAAGGTACAATGTAAGTTATACAATTAAAAGATGTGTATGCACAGGGGAAACAGTTGTTTATGGAAGTGCTCGGGCACTTGTATGCATTTTTGGCATACAGGCTACAACAATTAGGGGAAAAAAACCCATAAAAAATAAGAGCAACAGTAAAGTTACTTGAGGTAATCTTTTAAGTTGTTTTACTGGCAATTATTAATGATGCAAGTGCATGAGAAGTTGTTTATATAACTTAGAAAAATAGGATGTCACCAAGCATCAGTGTCAAGTGAGAGATCACATTCTGGGCTGCATAGTAAACTTGATTTTTGGAACAGTGGAGATTTTTGAAAATTGACAGTGTGTAACAGTTCCTTGAAGCCAGTTACTTTCAAGTGGATCATGTTGATATGAAGTCTTACTGTTGCCCTCTACTGGCATCTGCTGGAAGCTCTTGAGGCCTTACTCATCAAGTACCTTGGCCTCATGGTTAATTTCTGAAGGACACTTAATCCATTTCAGACAAACTCAAACCCATTATTTGAAAGCAAAAGTCTTTCTTTAAAGACTCAGAGATGGGGGAGAGAGGAAGGAGGAGTACAACCCCCATCTGTCAATGCTCATCTGCTTACAAACTGCTGAAAGCTTTAACTCCTACATTCAAAAGCCCTAAAACATAAAAATGTCAGCTGAATTAATTAAATATTTGAGTACTGTCAACTGTTGGAGTGTTTGAATTTTGGAGGCATGGATTAAAGACATGGAGGGTCATGAGAGAGAGTATCATATTTCAAACTGCTCAGTGAAAGCACAGCTATAACAGTGATTGTTGTCATCATCCTAAAAAAAGAAAGCTGAATTCACACAACTGTGCTTTCTGAGACATGGCAGAACACAAGAGGAAAATACTTGTATTTCACAAGTACACTGCTACACCTTGCTTTGCTGCTGTTGTTCACATAGTTATCTAAACAGTATAAAAGACAGAATAGAATAGTATATCTACTAAATGGTGAAATTTTTTATCTCGTTAAATAGTCTAATATTAGTTGCCCTCAAATCTCTGCACAGCCTGTGACTATATGGAGACTTTATGTTCAACAGTGACTACCAAGTAGATCAGCTGTACTGTATTAACTCTGTCCTTTTGAAGAGCTGTTTCTATAAGCTGTCTCCATTACATACTTTTTGTGATCCTTTGACATCTTGTTTCTAAGAAAGAAAACATCTAGTATCTTCCCTCTGAGCAATCATGAAGGAACGCTTCATGTGGAGAAAAGATGAGAAGAGGGATGAGGCCTCCTTTCTCCAAGTCAAGATGAATAACCCTGTTATAAGGGACAGTGAGCTTTAAATGCCAATCTCTGTTACTGCCACTCTCTTAGACTCTGGTATTTGGTTTATCAGTGAAATATGTGTGGTTTTTTTTAAACTGTAAAATGTAGTGTATCTTAGATATTTTCCAGGATTGAGTATGAGTGTTAATAAGTGTTTGACATTTGTACTATGTGAAATCTCTATACATGTGAAGATTCTTTCAAGAGCAGAAAGCTGTGCATTGACTTAGTAAAATAGGCTTCTGTTTTCAAATATAGGTTTGTTACACCTTTGGCATTATGACTGTATAGAACAAATTCCATTTTGTTAATAGGAAAATAGTGTCTTAATTTGTTGAACTGTTCTTATGCTAGAAACAACCTGATATTTATGTTTGAAGTGTTGTGTGCAGAAAGAGGAAGCAATAGACTTGGATTCCAGTACATTGACTATAGAGTTAAAAATAAAAACGTCCTTAGGGAGTTATAAAGCTTTATGACTTCTTCCAAATTATGGAGGTAGCTTAGAGAACTCCTCACTCTTTGATTCTGAATAGCTCAGTATCCACATTACACTAATGTGAGTTTGGGAAAATCGATGCTAAATGACACTAATTTAATGGAGCATTAAACTAAATATCTTTAAGATATTGGTTGCTGCAAGGGGGATGGTAAGATCCTTCTGCTTCCATTTCAATCATAAATCACAACACAAGAATCGCACAAACTTTTGATTACCTAGCTTCTAACGCAGTTCAGATACAGCATTAAAAAAGAGTAGATTTTATATTTCATTGGGATTCTGACATCCAGAGGGCTCTAACAATGACCAGATGTGAAACAGAAGAAAACAGAACAAATATTTGGGAGCAGTTAATGCCTAAACATAAAAATGACCATGTGTAAATCATGTTAGAACGTGGTTTGAGCAAGGGAAGTTGATTTTTTACTTAAAAAAATATATATATAAAAAAATTATTCTTCTTCCCCCACCATCCCCAAGGATCTGTGTGTCTTCATATATTGCTAGAACAAAATCAAGCATCAAAGAGAAATATTTTGATCCAGCCTTGAATACTACTCAGGTAGATGCTGAGTTGTTATTTTTCAGATGCTTAGATCTCTCTTTGTTTGAACTGAGTGTGAAGACCAGGCCAGAATAAAGTACCTCAGCTTGACAAATAAGCGTGCTGCAAAAGCTTCATGTACTGGGGCCATATTTATAGATTCTCCTGCTATTCTTGTTCTCAGGTGAGCGGCCATACCAGTGTCCTTACTGTGACAAAGCTTTCAGCAAGAATGATGGGTTGAAGATGCATATTCGCACCCACACAAGGGTAAGTCCCACACAAGGGTGAAGTGTAGCTTAGTTTTTATGGTTACTTGACGTTTGTCTATGAATCATGTGTGATGAAAAGTAAATAGTTACTGTTTATGTAGAGATTAGGCTATACCAACCCAGATATTTTATACTTATCAAAATAAGAGAAGAAGTTTTAAATAGTTAACTATTAAATTCTAATTATGACTCCCTTACTGAACTGTTTTTTTCTGTGTTCACTTTCCTGTGTTGAAATAATAGCACTACTAACTTTGTCCTTTAACCTGTGGTTATTTTTAGCCATAAATTCATGTTTGTGATTGTTTACTGAGTAAACAATTCTATAAAGGCTTCACTGTTCTTGAAACTTCAGTGTTTTGATTCTTAATGTCTCCTTTTGTAAAGACTGTACTTAACTAACTGATGACAAATAGTAAACTGCACGACTTTCTTTAACTGAAGGCAAGCTAAAAGGCAAATTGCAGACGTCTCCAAGATTATTTTTGAACCTTGCGTCTCATTAGCAAAAAGGTTCCCTCTTTTAGGGAAAAGCGTTGTACTGATGTGTATTTACTAGAGGACAAATGTGAGATCCTGGCCCCACTCAGCCAGCAAAGCAATGGAGATATGTCTTCAAAGAGCCAGAGGTGCATTTCCTTAGTAACTGGAGATCTCCAGGTGAAGTTAAGCTTCCACATACTAACCTGCCTCTGTCCTACTCATACACCGTAAGAAAACAAAAAAAAATGTTAAAAGTAAACTGTAGCTTTTAGTTGGGAGCTGTTACTGCTTACAGAGGCAGCCTTGAGGCTGAAGTGACCAAGTTCTTTATTAGAAAACAGAGAGGATAATAGTTAAGTTAGTAGTCTCCATATGCAAATCTGTGCACAGAATGCCTTTCTAAATAAGTAAGGATAAGATCAACACTGTTTTATTTTCTACATTTCTACCTAGGTTTTTAAAGGTATTAAGTGGTGGTCCTAGATAGTTTCAGTTCTTATGCCCCAGGCTTTAGTTTTGAGGTAATCAGTAGTTTGTGCAACAGTTCCTGGTGGTTCATTGGGAACAGGCTAGCCTCATGTTGTTTGTTGTTTCTTCTTTTTTCTAGCTGTTACATTACTCTGAGAAGTGCTATAAAATATCTTCACTTGTTACTGTGCCCTGTTACTGTTTTTACACTAGAAGAAATTTCATTGCTATTTATGTTTGACATGTCTGTGAGTGGGAGGAGTTGGTAAACAAGACCAGCACTGAACAAGTGCCAAATTAAATTTTTTCCTGATTTGTCAAGCAGTTTGAGTAACTCCTCAACCTCTGTAGGAAAAAAAATGAAGAGAAAAACCCCTAAACTTAGGCTTTTAAAGCATCTAACGATGTATCTCCAATGACTATAGTGGTTTAAACCAAGTGATGATTTCTTCCCAAGTTCATGCTCAGGAGTGAGGTTGGAGAACTTTACAAACATTACAGCTTTTAAGCAATGAGGAGACATTAACTGGTAGCAGTTATTTAGCAGGACTGCACATCCTACTGTCTTAGAGAATGCAGTATTTCCATAGAGGAAAGTACATACTTTTCTTCATAGCTGTGTTTTTTTTTTTTTTTATAATTGTATGTATCACGCCTGATTATCCACACAGTGTAGATAGAGATATTATGGTAACAACAAACAAAAAAAGTAATTTCTAAGTAGAGATTTTTAATTCTGCTCAATGGAAAAACTCACAGTTGCTCTTCTACTCAGTGTACTTTTTTGGGGTGTTTCATGCTCTTAGCTATGCTCTAAAACATAAATACGCAATTTGGTGCAGATTTCCTATTTCAGTCTTATTTGGCTGCTTGCTACTACCATTTCTATGTGACTTCTTGCTTACATGTTCCCATAGGTCATCATATTTTGCCTCTGTTATATAAGAAAAAAATTAAATCTGAAATTTGCAAGCTGGCTCCAGAATGCAGTTTGACAGAAGGACAAGCTGAGGACTTTACATTAATTTTGAAACAGTAAGAAAAAGAAAATAATTTTAACACTGCTTAGGAATGACAGAATAACAATTCAACTAACATTTGCTGTTTAGCTAACACGAAAGGGAAGAGTTAGGGAGAATAAATTTTACAGAGTTAAGATTCACTTCTAATATATGTAGATGTCGTAATTACACAGACTTTTTATTGTGCTAAGAACATAATTGCACTAAGAACATAATGAGATTTGATTTAAAAGATCTCAAAAAATGTTCTTCTGTTGGCTTGGAATTTTAACTCTTTTTGCAGCATGCTGTTTATATGCTACTCCTGTTCTGAAGCTTCACAGTGAAGCTTGTTTGTATATTAATGGCATTTTATATTCCTTTATTTCCAAGTAAATAATTTTAAATTTTGCAGTAATATGAATCAATATTGATAACGTTAACATTACTAGTAATTTTGAAAACCAAAGCCTGTTTCTAAAATCTTGGGCCTCACAACTTTCCCTCTTACTCACATGTCAACACCTTATGTAATATCTAAATAAAACTATGCAGTTAAAAATTTTAACATCTTAGTAGGAGAGGAAAGAGAAGTTGACTAGTAGTATTAATATAAACAGTAGAAGAGAAAGTTCTTGATGAACTTTCACAGAGTTCCAAGTCAGAAAGAGTGGTTATGCTGAGTCTCTTCTACATTATCCATGCAGTACTGAGGGATAATAAGCTGTAGTTTAATTGTTCATATGAGTACATATTAGTACAGGTATAGGGGAATAAATACGTATTTTAGGTGGTGTGATTCAGGTGTAAGTGAAAGAGAACAGAGTAGTGAAGAAAGTTTAGTTATTTTGAAGGAATATAAAGAAAGAATAAGAGAGGAAATACTTTGAGGTAAATTGAGGAGACACCATTAATTTTACAAGATCACTGGAGTGCTTGGCAAGAATATGAAGATGCATTTAATTTTTGTAGTAGATGGGTGCTTGTCAGGAATGTAGTGGTTGATATTTAGGATCTCTGTAAGAACAGACATTGAAAAAGTTAAATAATTGATCTGTATGGGCTTGGTGTTTATGTGTGATTTTTAGCATAATAGTATGTTGAGAGGAAAATAAAATAATATTATACAGGAAACAAACAAGCCTCTGTTCAGTAGAGAAAACAGCTGTTGAGTCTATAGGGTATAGAATAGTCTTGTAATATCAAGGTCACCTGCCTTGATGTTTTTCTGAACACAGGGCTGCTAGCAATATTGCAGTCTGCACTGGCTGAGATGCAGAACTGTTGACAGTTTCAGACAGGTATTTTACACCAGGCAAGCCTGCTGGTATTGCCTGAGGTGGTCTCCCTTTTCTTCTTTCCTAGCATTTAATTCTCAAGCAAGTACGTACTACTTGCTGGATAAAAAGGTGGAAATTCTCTAGTAGTCCTGCTCATTTAGTCAGATTCCCTCTTTACTTTTTTGTAGAGGCAATTAAGTGTTACAGATACTAAGATGGTTTACTTTATCAGGTTGTGTCCTGGTTACACTGGGACAGAACCACAGGCCAGCAGCCATGGGAACAGGCCATCAGTAGTTTGGAGTCAACTGGGAGCTTATGTGAAGGCAGCTGACCCAAGCTGACTCCCAGGTGTATCCCAGACCATAAACCTCACCCTCATTTTAAAGCGGAAGGCGTGCTGGGGACAGGGAGCTTCTCTTCCTGGGGCTCCTTTTTCTCCTGCTGTTGCTTCTTCTAAGACTGGGCTAAGTATGACCTTGTGTACTTTATGTTGTCATTAGTATTAGTTCTTCTATTTTCTTAAACCTGTTTTCATTTCAACCCAGGAGTTTCAGCTCCTTTTCCTGATTCCCCTTCCTTGCTGGGGAGGGATCATTGGGTGAGAGAGCTACTGCTGTAGTTGAGCCCAGGTATGGGCTAAATGTAGGCAGGGTGATAGACTAAAATACTTGCATGTTGCTGAATTTCCAGCTTTGAGCATTTTTTGGTCTTTAGCTAAGAGCAATGTAAGCTGAAGTGCAAGTTCTGAGCTATTAATGTGTGTCTTTTTTGAAGTGACTTCATGCCAGTCCCATTGTAACACCTCTCTGGTGCTCAGTGTAGTGGTGGTCTAATTCTTCTGGAAATCAGAGGCCGTGTGTGTTAACAAGTGCAGTAGTAGGTATGTAAAGTGAAAGAGTTGGTGCTGAGGACCTGATGTTTATCTTGTATGTGTTTCAAAGATTTTACTGCAGGCTGTGTGTAGTCTGGTCCTATGGACTGAATGTGAAGGAGCACTCCCTGGAATGCATTAAGCCTTCTGCTGTAATTGTTTCCTAAAGAAATGCAGGTCACAGAGTCCACAACATTTTGGAAGTGTGCACCAAAGCACAATAACAGTGGGATGTTTGTGAAGTGTGGTTCAAAAGCACACACCTGATTGAATATAAACACTAAGGAAAATGTATTCAAACTCTACTATGTAAGAACTTTCCAGTGAAGAAAGATTATACCTGTGCAGAAATAGCTTGAAACTCCCCAGGATGATACTGATTTTTTATGACTTGTTCTGTGATCCTAGTCTGATCCTATGGACTGAATGTGCAGGAGCACTCCCTGGAATGCTCCTGGAATCACTTTAAAGACAAAACTAAAGATTAAGAAAAAAAAAAAAGTGTATTTGTCAATATTTATTTTTGTCTATAAGAAAAAGCCAGAAAGTCACAATTGAAATTTCTTTCTTCAGGTATCTGATGTGTTGACTTTTGA